TATAGGCATCGAATAGCCAAAAAATTACAGAAAATCACAAAAAAGATCAAAGCCATTCCAGAGAGGAATGAGAGATATGGTGTCTCTACAATAGAAGGAACAAGTTCGGATAGTGTTCCCAGATGGGTGAAGAACAAAGCCGAGTCTTCTCTTTATATTATGGAAGATGAACTAATTGGGATTGAAGACAAGAAGCAAACGTTAATGGGATTGTTGATGAATGGAGAGGAAAATAAAATGGTTGTGTCTGTGGTCGGGATGGGAGGATCAGGCAAGGCAACTCTTGTTGCCAATACCTTCAACAACGAAAACGTAAAGCGACATTTTGATTGTTATGCATGGATCACTGTTTCTCAAACTTATGTGATTGAAGACTTATTCAAACAAATGATCAAGAAGTTCCATGAAGGAAGAAAGGAAGAGGTGCCTGAACATTTGAATTCCATGAGTTATGAAGAATTGTTAGAGATGTTGTTGACATACTTGAAGTCTAAAAGGTACCTCGTTGTATTGGATGATGTGTGGGATATTAAACTTTGGCAAGAAATAAGGATACCACTTCTTAATAGACACCATGGAAGTCGAATCATGCTTACAACACGAAAGAAAGACATAGCATTCTATTCTTTTGAAGTTGAAAGTCGTCCTTTTGAAATTGAACCTTTGGAAAACAATGAAGCTTGGGAGCTCTTTAGCAAGAAAGCATTCTCAAGTTACGATAACAAATCTTGTCCACCAGAGCTTGAATCATTAGCATGGAAACTTGTGGAAAAGTGTGAAGGCCTACCTCTGGCAGTGGTAACTTTAGGTGGTCGAATGTCTTCCAAGAGGTCATCATCGGAATAGAGAAGCGTATATAACAGCTTAAATTGGCACTTGACTAACCATCCTATGCTAGAACCAATGAGCAGCATCTTGTTACTTAGTTTCAACAATTTGCCCAACCGGTTGAAGCCTTGTTTCCTATATTGTGCCCTTTTCCCAGAAGATTATCTCATCAAAAGAAAAAAGTTGATCAGGTTGTGGATAGCTGAAGGGTTTATTGAACCAATTGATGGGGTCACACCAGAAGAAGTTGCAGAGGGCTATGTTGTGGAACTTATTGGTCGTAGCATGCTACAAGTTGAAAAGGATGAAGCTGGAGGACTAAAAGCATGTAAGATGCATGACTTGTGCGTGAGCTTGCTTTGTCGACATCAAAAAAGGAAAAGTTTGGTGCTACGTATGTTGGCAGAGAAATAATAGATAAAGCTGAAATCCGCCGATTGTCAATTCAAACAACTGAAAGAGAAATTAATTCTTGCACAGGAATGTCAGAGCTTCGCTCCTTTCTTGTCTTTGGCGCGTTAAAGAAATTGCCTTCTGGATTCAAGTTGTTGAGAGTTCTAGATGTGCAGGATGCTCCAATTGATAGATTTCCGGATGAACTAGTGTACTCGTTCAACTTAAGATATTTAAATTTGAAGAGAACTTTAATTGACGAGCTTCCAGAATCCATCGGACGGCTTCTCAACCTTCAAACCTTGAACATCTGTCACGGTAAGATAAGGGCACTTCCAAAAGCAATCTCCAAGTTAGTAAACCTACGCCATCTAATGATGTATTGTCACACTGGTGATTGGGCTGCCCTTAGATGTGTCAATGGGACAAAAACAGCATCCGATCTAACTAAATTACAGAAACTACAAGTTTTGCAATCTGTTGAATCAGAAGGAAAGATTATTAAGGGCATCGGGAATATGACCCAACTTACAAGCCTCGGTATTACAAATGTGAAAGCAAGTGACGAGATGGACCTATGTGACTCCCTTCAAAAGTTAGAGCTCCTCCACTGTTTGTTTTTTATGGCAAGTGATGAAGAGGAGTTTCTTCGAGTTAATGCACTACGTTCGCCTCCTCCAGACCTTCGAAAGGTTATTTTGGGTGGAAAACTAGAAAAGGTACCTCTTTGGTTTGGTTCACTCCATAACCTGACTTGTATGGATCTAATTTGGTCTAGACTTGAAGAAGATGTGCTACCTCACATTCAACCATTGCCGAATCTTGAAATGCTTCACCTAAGTAATGCATATGTTGGCGAAAAATTGTGTTTCTCTAGAGGCTTCATAAAGCTTAAGCATTTGATGTTGCGCAGCTTCCTGGTATTGAATAGTATAGCTATAGAGAAAGGGGCGATGCCAAATCTCCAGGTCTTAGAAATTGGGAACTGCCTGGAGTTAAAGGCATTGCCGCAGGGCATTGAGTTCCTTGCTAACGTAGAACGCTTGATTCTGTATTTTGTTCCAAAGCAACTTATAGAGTCCGTAAGAGGCGGCATGGATCATCCAAAGGTACAACATATTCCTGAAATCCACCTGTCTTATGAGAGAGAAAATATGAAGTGTCATGAAAGCTTTTCCGGTATTCACTCTCATAAAGGTACGCACACTTTTATCCTTGCATAAAAATTTGATTAATGCTAGACTTGCCACATTTTTTGTATCACATTTGTACCACCTCTTTTATAGAGGTAGGGGCCATCGACATATGTGATTCTCATTTCTATTAGAAAAATAGGATAAATGTGGTATAAAAAATGTGATAAAAGTAGCATTTTTGTAAAAAAAAAATAAAAAATCCATAACGTAATCATTTGAACTTGTATGTTAAAAAGGTAAAAGGTTAGTGATTTTCATACTCCTATTTATTTTTGGGTTCTTTAGATATAAACTCATGCAACACTTATTTTCTTAACAAAAACCCATCTCATTTTAAACATTCAAATAAAACCCAAATTTGAAATAAATTGCCATGTAAACAAATAAATACCTATTATTTTCAAAATATATACAATTGTGCCACAACACCCTAATTATGTTGATGAATTTAATTACCACCATAATTATAGCAAATAAGTGCTTTATTATTACAAAATTATCTACTTTATACTTGTCTTACCATCATCTGTTTCGTTTCTTTTATTTGTTTGACAATCATTGTAGGTAAATTATTTTGCATGTATACGTTAGGCACATTTTGTTGTTATTATATCTGTGTGAAATAAATTACCTATATTTTTAAGTAGAATAAGGGTAATTAATTAATTTTGAATCAATTGGCTAAAAACATTATTTTATTTTGTAGGTAAATAATTTTGCATGTATTATTACATATACTACGCACATTTGTTATTATTATGTGTTGTTTGCAATCAATCAACATTCATTTATTTTGTAGGTAAATTATTTTGCATGTATTATTACATAAGTTAGGCACATTTTGATATTATTATATATATGTGTATGCAAATAGCTTAAATAACTTTTGAATCAAACAATATTTATTTATTTATTACGTAGGTAAATTATTTTGCATGTATTATTTTACCTGGAACTTATATTGTTATTTTATATATGTAATATATTGGTAATTTTGAATAAAATAACATTTTTATATTTGTAAAAAAAATGCTAATTTACTTGTTACAATTATTTGAAAAGGAAAAAAATGCTCATTTTTACATAAATATGAACACAACTATATAAGGAAACAAAATTCTAATGTCATGTAATTTTTGTTATTAATATGCATTGAAATCATGACACTCAAAATTTTCTTTTCCAAATCTGCATAAACATTTCAAAACGTTTAATTGAATGAAATAATATAAAATAAATGTAGATAACAAGTAATAAACCCAAAGTCAATAATATTAGGGGTAATTTAGACATTCAAAAATACCAATTTTGCCAAGTGATACTTAATTATGGATATTGCTTAGTTGGAGCCTAGTCATTGGGTTTTTATCAGAAAATTTTACAATTGGGGGTTTTAGTTAATGAAAATTGAATTCCAAGGGGTATACTCATATTTTCAGTTTATTTTTCTTATGCACTCCCCTTGTTTTTATTCGTTAGTGGTTTGATTTATTCAATTGTTAGTCTACGAAAAAGAGGAAATAGTGCATTGGAGTGTAAAAATCATTTTCCCTTGCAAATTGCATGTCCAATTTTATACAGAAGTCTGGCAAAGACATAAAATATGCATGCATTGAGATTTTATTTGGTAACTGTGTTTCTTTTGTTTTGTAATATCCTTTTTGCAGAATCAAGCCTCAGAAGCACTTGTGAGATTGCAGTGAGTTCTTCTTTGTGCCAATTGATTTTGCGGTGAATCTCGACTTTCGTTATAGTAATAGAGCTGACTGTATACATGTTGAGCCATTCGCCTTGCAAGGAAGGATCCATCCGTTGTTTGTGTTGTGTGAAGTTGCAAACATTAATTGATCTTGGTTTCTTATTTGCCCTTTATGAAATTGAATAATGCCCAGATTCTATTTGTGTAGTTGAAACTTATATTATTGATTGCTTGCGTGTGTTTTGATGTAATAATATTGGTTTGGAACTGAATCTGACTGATGAGAATAATGCCCAAGATTATGTTTGTGTAGCTGAAACTTATATTATTGATTGCTTGCGTGTGTTTTGATGTAATAATATTGGTTTTGAATTGAATCTGTTACTAATGAGACCAATTCTAACTAAACCAATGATTATGACCCATTTTTCATTTTCTATATTTATTGTTTTTATTAAGTTTTCAAATATATATTGTTTTAGAGAGGTAAATTTTGTGGTAGATGTTTTAGCTCACTATAATTTCACTTGAAAAATTATTAGATGGTACGGTATTACCATGTCAGCAGGTGATATTTCTATTCAAATTTTAACATGTGTGCAGTTTCTTACAGCTGGATTAAAAAAAAAATTAATTAAACTTTTTTTTTCAGTTTAAACAAAATTAAAAGATCTAAAAATAAGTGGCGTTTTAGCAAAGATGCCTAGTTTTTAAAATTGAATAATTCTAAGGAGATTAAATTTTTTAAATCAAATTTACAAATCAAATGGTGTAGTTATTGATTATTAGATTATTATTTAAGCATTAATTAACGTATTTATTTCTTATTGATACACATCATTTTGATTTGCAAATTTCTTTTAAATTTTGGTCACCTTATGTTTATATCATTAAAATTTTGAGACAACTCTTTTCCTCCCCTCCTTCTCTCCCGTGGCGACTGCAGTGCTGCCAGTATCCGAGCCCGCCAGAAAGCAACCCCGACCGAGTCGGAGCGGATTCCAGGCCCATGGACTATCCGAAGAAGAGGCCCGGATCGGAGCCATCGTAGAAATCGTCAGCTCCATGGTCGACCTCTCCCGGAAGGGCCAAAACATTGACCTAAACGCCCTCAAGACCACCGCGTGCCGCAAGTACGGCCTCTCACGTGCGCCGAAGCTGGTCGAAATGATTGCGGCTCTGCCGGAGTCGGACCGTGAGGCTCTTCTCCCAACTAGCATGTGCGCAATTCGGGCAAGGTATGGCTTTCTCTAGTTCATTGACGCATTTTATCGAACACTTGATAGGGAATTGAAGTTTTATGTTATTCATGATTCGTTTCGAAGTTTAAAGTTTTTGGCTTGATTGATTTTTCACCATGAAATTGAGAGCTTTGTAATGAAGAGATTATTTGAAGGAATTGGTGTTTAAAATTGGATTAGTGAAGTTAATTTGGTAGTTAATCTTTTGGTTTTGTGTGTTTATTTAGATACAACCCATATGTTTAGAGCTTAAAGAATTTACTTTCGGGTTTGCAGATTTCCATGATAGAGTAATAAGCATAGTTGTCGACTTATAACTGGGACTGAATTTGTGTTTACAGGTCGAGTTCATCTTAATGGGCGGTACTTTCATGTCGTTGCCTGCGGATTACCGTGATTACGAGCTCGTTTGAATGCGCTTTTGAAATGATTGAAAACGCTTTTGGTGAAAATATTTTAAAACCAATCATTAGTAAATATGCAAGTAAATCCTAAAAAAATATTTAAAGTGCTTCCTGGAAGAAGCACATAATTGGTGCTTCTTGCAGAAAGCACTTAAAGTGCTTTTGAAGCCCAAAAATATTTTTTCTAAAAGCGCTTTCATTCATTTTAAAAGCATATCCAAACGAGCCCTACTTTATTAGAAATCTGCACGATGCGTTATTGGGACACACTTCTGCCAATGTTGAAGAGGCAGTTGCCTACTCTGAGCATGGTGCTGCTAAATGTATTGGAATGACCATTGAAACGTGAGTTTTTAGTTTATTTTCGAAGCCATTAATTTCTCATTCTTGTGTTTAACTTGGTTGACAGTAATTTTTAGCTTACCATCTAGTTTCCAGTTCATCTAGCTTACCATTGAAGTGCATATAAACTTTTGTAATGCAAATCACACTGTGCTTAATTGGGTGTTTTGTAGAAACCTTGTGATATAAAATGAGTTATCTTTTTTTTTTTCTTTTTATTCGTGCACCAAGTGAGGTTATTTTTCTACCAAGAGCCTGACATTCTTTACTTTAACTTGGTGTATTTTTACCCATCACTCTCAAATGGTAGTATTGTTTACCATCCTACACATTTGAAACTTAAACAAATATAACGATGATATTCACTACACATATTTCAAAACTTAAAATAATGTAATTATGAGAATTTGAAGGTAAAAGAGTACCATAATGATGAAGCAAAAACCTTGCAAGAGTTTATAAAAGGTTAGACTACTTCTCATATTGTTAATTATTTTTATAGTGAAACCTTAACTTTTCATAGTATCAGAGCAAGTTGGCCTACGTGTGAAGTCTAACGGTCACACGTGTTCCACGTCACCTAATTCGTGTTGTTCACGTGTTTGGTTTGAAAATTCGTTACATGTGAACAACGCGTAAGAATGTAAAAGTAAAAAAAAATCTTATATTGATAAAAGAATATCCTTTGCAAAAGTTTATAAGAAATTAGAATACTTTTCATATTGTTTACTGTATAAACTTTAATAGGAGCTCACCTCGTTAATGCACTCCTACGCCGATTCTTATCTCGAGTTTCAAGGTTTTGCAAATTGCCACTTGCATCAAATTATTACTTTTCTCATGATTCTCGGTCTTTGTCGAAAAGTCTACGTAAACCATTTGACGTATTAGTTTTGTCCAAAAACAGTGGCCTTTGTCCCATTAAATATGGGCAAGAGTTTAGGATCCTCTACGGTTTCTTTTTGTGAAAATTTGAAGGATTAATTAATCGTGTGTATTTATTGTACATTGTGTAACTAGAAATTATTTAAATTTTATATTTAAAATTAAATATAAAATATTTAACGAAAATTGATCGTACAATGTATGATGAACGAATACGTTTAATTGATCATCTGATCTCAAAAAAAGAATTCGAAGACCGATCCTCGTGTTATACCAATTAGTTTATATGCACCTTGTTCGACCCCCATTTTTATTCACCACTAAAAAAAATTAAATTAAATCTCGTTTTTTATAAATTCTTAATCTTTCATTTTTATTATCCCACCAGAATAGGGACAATCAATTCACATGGAAGAATTTGTTTGGCCGAATCATTTCATAGAAATATATCAGTATTTGATTGATCTAAATTTATATGTAATTTAGTAATTATTCAATTTACCTAGTGACAAAAAAAATGAATATAATCAACTAAAATGAGAATCATTCTTTATATTATCTTTTTAAAAATTGCACATCGTAAAAAGATACAGTAAAAATTCTTACTGTGATTATGACTCGTAATATTTAATTATCTCCTAATACTTACTTCCAATTATTTTCCATTTTTCATAAATTTGTAATCTTCTTCTCATATTTGATATTTTCAAAGTTCATTAACAAAGGAGTCCAACAATAACGTTAGTTATAGCTTAATGCAATTGAAGCATATCATTGCAACTCTTTTGTGAGCTTTCATATTCCCCGAAGTATGTCATTCTGCACTCTTACTACCATACATGATACTTTCTAGAATTTATCTGGAAGAAAATATAACTATAAGTGCTTATGAGCTATATCTGAATTTTTTGTTTTTTTATTATTATTTTTTTCTTATTATATATGTCACTCAAGTTCAAAGCATTCAAACTTGAACACAAAATTTCAAATTCGATTTCTTCTTTAACAATATTGCTTGTATAAAAAAAGGGGGTAAGTTATTGATTTGTACACCATTAAGTTGAATTTAGTTGCAAGTCTAATCAATATTATTTGGTGTTTTATTTAAATAATTTAAGCAAGCAAAAAGGTCATGTTTGTCGTGTTTTTGGTGTTTTCGTGTTCATACCCGTTATCGTAACGGGACGTGTCATGTCGAACCTGTTACTTTAATGAATTCTTAACGAGTAATCCAATAACGACTCAATTTGTTAACGGGTCGTGTCGTCTCATGTCTCGTTAACAGGTCATGGAATAATTTAATACACCTAATATCTAGATTTGGATAATGATATCTTATTAGGTTCTTAGTAGATGACTTGATAACAATTTTGGTCGTTAACAAATCGCACTATGTGCTAGTCAGGCGGCAAGCAGAGGCCTAGGCAGTTTTTTTTTTAATTTTAATTAAATTTAGAAAATTGCTATTAGTACTCTAAAAATCTAATTGTACACTCCATACTTTCTATACTTAAAGTTAATCATTTTATTCTCTGACACTTAAAATTACGAAAATACCCTTGACAAGCTTAGTGGAAATCCTAAGTGGACATTTAGGTTCTTGTCATTCTTTGTCCCGTTCACATCTTTCTAGGTAGTACATGTCTTTAGAAACACATGAGCACAAAAGAGGTGTAAATCGAACTATTTATGCACATTTTTCAATGAGACAAAATAATAATTTGCACCATCATGAATCCATAACTTGTTGGTTGTCAGTATTGCATGCTGCAAACTGTGATATTGAGGAGTTATTCGTTGGATTCGTTAAGCAAGTGGACAAGTAGACTCATCTCTGTTTGTATTTAATAATCAAGTCCCGTACATAATTAATTATTTTTTAGGCTTGAACCAAAGACACATACATACTCTCGTTCACTACGATTGCGTGAACTCAAACTCATTAAAATTTGAAGATACGACAAAAATTTTACGAAACTCGATATCAAGAGATTATTATAATTCTACTTTGATCAGTGCACTACCAATTATTTAATGTTTTTTTTCAAATAATTGGTTTTGGTAGGTGGGACGTATCCACGTGACCACTCCTCTTCCCGGTGTAGTTTCATTATTTCTCGAGAGATTTACTGAAATACAAAGTAGTACACCATGTGTTACTATATCAATGTTGAAATATATGTGCTGAAAAATTAATATCTTAACAAATACAATTTCCCACTACTTATATAAAAACACGTAATATACCACTTATATTCCCGTTACAATGAAAAATTTCTCCTTCCCCCTCAAGTTTCACTCAGCTGTGCCACACTCATTCTCTTGAAAAATTGTGAGTGATACCCTCTTAAAACTTAAAAATTGTGAGAGATACCCTCTTAAGTTTCCACACTATAAAATTCTCAATTTCTGCGCATCGGATTAGTAAAAAGTAGGAGTTGTATACGTGTAATTAGGGTTCACGTTTTGTAAGTTATAGCTCCTCTAAAAGGATTTCGAATTTCGAAGTTATCGACCAAAAAAACCCTCCCCCCTCACCAAACCAATCTGGTGTATATATAATAGGGAGAAAACTTCCATAAAACGATAGATGTATATACTATTTCCTAATAGTAATAGAAGAATAGTAAAAGGCATGAGCACGAAAAGCGCTAGCGAGTCTTCTAATGTATAAGTTTTCTTACGATAATGTGTATATTTCAACTGGTGACAATATCCTTTTTTCTCCTCCAAAACATCAATGCTAGTCAGTTGAAGATAAAGAGTAATTAAGCTGCTAATTTGGAGTGCAACGTTTGAACCTTGGACGGCTACCTATATTCTTTTAACTAGTGGAAAACAAAGAGACAATGGTTTGGCACCTTTTATTAATATTATTATGGCTTAAATGTTAAAATGGTCTCTGTGTTTTAGTCATTGGGTTAATTTAGTCCATGTGTTTTCAATTTGGCCAATTTGGTCCTTGTGTTTATTTCCGTTAGCCAATTAAGGACATTTCCATTTAATTTATGTAAAAGAATTATAAATTATTATAAACTTATTTATAAAATTATAATTTATTTTATTTAAAACATTTAACATGGAATAAAATTAAAAATTTAAAAGAAAAATTATCCTCCTCCCAACTCTCCGACTTCCTCCCTAACATTACCCCGTCTCATTTCTATGTCACAACCTTCATCATTTTTCAAATTGGAAGTTTTATTTCGTATCGGTGTTATTTCTCATTGATTTGTATTTTTCTGTATAGAAAAAAGATAATTATTTCTCATTTGATTTTTCTTATAAATTTTTTAAAAGAGATTGAATGAAATGTTCTCAATTAGCTAACAAAGATAAAAATGAGGATTAAATTAACCAAATAAAAAATACGAAGACTAAATTGACCATATAACTATAACACATGAACCATTTTAATATTTAAGCCTATTATTATTTTCCATTTCGTTAATTTAATTGCTTGCGTTACTCACATCTTTTAAGGTATCATATACTTTACCTTTTCTTTATTTTATTATTATTGGCTTCTATTCATATGGTCCGGAATCAAACTATTTATAATTCATTGTCCTCCACACTTACTTTTTAGGGAAAATTTGAAATAAGTTCAATTTTATAGACTACTTTTGAAATAAGTTCAATTTTTAGTTGTTTTGTATCCATATCAAAATATCCCTACTTTTTAAAGGCTATTCCCTTTTATCACCCAACTTCCAATGAAGAAAAAAACTTTTTGTCAACCATTTTTGTTTGACAAATTTCCCACATTATGCCTCTACAAACATCAACTTAAAAAAAAAAGTTTCAATATAATGAATTCTTAATAGGTGGCCCAAATTAAGACTTGATTAGTTAACAAATTGTGTTATTTTATGTCCAATTAACGGGTCATGTAAGAAATTAATATACCTAATATCTAGATCTGAAAAACGATATATTATCAGTACACCAGCAGTTAATCAGTTGTGTTATTTCATGTTCAGTTACACTAAATAACGTGTTACCAATAAAAAATAAACACGTTAATTAACTCTTAAGTAATGATCAATTCACCAATTTTCATGTGATTTAATTTACAATTTTAATCTAAAATTTTAGTCACTCAAACATTACTCTACTCTTATCAGTACACCACCAGTTAATTAATATATTTAAAAAAAATCTGATCGGTGGGACGCACCCACTTGACACTCTTCTTCCCCGTGTAGTTTGACTCTTTCCCTCGGAAAATTTTTAGTTATGACGGAAACACGAATGGTACATTACGTGTTTTTATGCAAATGGTAGAAAATTTTAATTTTTAAGTTATTAAACTTTTAACATACATAAGCCA